GGGTTAAGGGTTGGGGGTTTTGGGGTTTAGGGGTTTAGGGGTTTGGGGTTTAGGGGTTCAGGGTTTAGGGTTCAGGTTTTTTTTAGGCTTTAGGCTTTGGAGTTAAAGGTTTGGGGTTTAGGGGGTCACTATTAAGGAGCTTTCAGTAAGATACCACAATAAAGAAGCCATAATGCTGGACCCCCTTTATTGAAAAGGTCCCCTATAATGTGTTTTGGGGCCTGCTTATTCAGGATCAGGGCAATGGTTGCAACGCCCTATATAATTTGTTTTGCTTTTTGGGCCCTAAAAATAAAGGAAATGTTCATTCCTCTTTAATATTAAAGGCATGCCTTTCAGAATCCATTTCCAACTCCGCCTTGAGAGCTTTAGATCCAGAATCCAGATACCAAATCCTAAACCTGCAGCCCACCAGTCTTATATAAACCCTTTTCCAAAACCTTAAAATTCTTGGCCGCAATCATTTGGGCAAAGGGGGTAGTCTTGCAAGCTCATGGATCCTCTTTGATGCCCATTGTTTGAAGGTCCTCTTCAATCTGGCAGCCCTGGGCCCCCGTAAGTTTGGAGGCTTTGAAGGATCTTAAAGGGCATGCCTGTCAAATTCCTTTTCCAACTCAGCCCTGAGAGCGGGGCCGAGACCACCCCCTTTTTAATCAATCCCAGAGCGCTCAGAACCCCGGGAGGTTTTGAGGGACCGTATTGAGGGTCCCCAATTTCTATTTTTGGGAGGGCCCTAATGTTGGGCGGGGGCTACTCTTTAAAGAGGGTCCCACATAATAGCTTGTCTCCACAATTTAATACCACCGAAGCCATTACTACCAGGAAACTGCACTGATTTCTTCCAATATACCACCATTACAGTAGCTTCATATGAACCATAGTCTAAACTCCTAGTATCCCCTTAATCGCCCCGACCTATAGTAGTCCCTATAGTTATCCCCTATATAACCCCCNNTAAGGAGCTCATATGAAGTCCTCAACAGCGGCCCAGTAGCCGAAGTCACCGGACCCGACGCCTTTGAAGGTTGCCTTGAGGTTCTCCCTGCTCAGGCCCTTAGAGACTCTCCTTGGTTGCTGTTAAGGAACT